TAGCTATCCCCTCTGCTGCTATACATTAGTTCGATTTCACTATCTAGAAATTTGACGGTTACCGACTTTGGTTATAAGCTTCATAGTGATGAGAGACCAGTATCACATTTGTTTTACATGGATGATCTTAAAGTGTCTGCTAAGAATGAAACTATTCTCTCCCAAATTGTGTCGTCAATGATTTTATCAAGGACATCTGCATGAGTGTGTTGATAAGTGTGCAAAACTCAATTTAAAAAGAGGGAGAGTGACATCGTCAGAGAGCATTGAAGTTGATGTGCGTACAGTGAGTGGCCTTGAACAATATGAAAACATCTCGAACGACTCAATGGAAGAGAGAATTTACAGGGAGTATTCCAGAAAAAGCGAGACTTGTCCTGCAGTCCGCCCCGAACTCCAGGAATAAAATATCGGCAATTGGTAGTTTGGCGGTGCCTGTAGCCGAGTACAGTCGCGGTCTAGTGAACTGGACTGAGAAGGAAATTCGAATCATGGATTGAAAAAAATAAAAAAATTTAAAGTGCTTACTGTGTATCATGTTGCCTATATTCGAGCTGGTGTACCCGTAGAAATATTAGATTTCGCGTTGAAAATCCCTTAATTCCAGAGGTTGATGGCGATGGACATACCTTCCTGCCTACAGCAAACTATGAAGATTAAATTTATTTGATTGGAGAGCGTATAAAATATTTTAACATCCTTTGAGAGTATAGGGGTTGTGGTGAGTTATCGTTGGCATTTCTAATGATACGCATGACGACGCATATAATTATGTCATCCTTTGAGAGCTAAATACTAGTACTATAGAGGTAAACGAATTCCGTGATTCCAGCCCATGAATTTGAATTTACATTAATTTTTGTATACGTAATGTTTCAAGTTTCGATAATATAAACGTGTTGTTATAAGAGAACTAGGTGAGCGAGTGGATGTCTCAGTATCGACGTGTTTTATTTCAGAACTAGAGGAGTGGCGGGTTTGATTCGGAGTCTGGATAGTTATTTTTATCCATTCTACATTGCCATTAAATCTTCTAAATTACAGCATCCAACTTGTCTTGTCAATATTATGCATAAAGCAGTCAAAATTCGCTTTCACGAACATGGCAAATATTTGAATCCTTAAGAAATTTCAACATTGATCGCTCTTATATGAATTTAAAATTATGTATAATGTAGAGTGGAGATAAATATAATAGATCTTAACCCTGCACCGTGCGCGCATTTTTTTGTAACGATTCAACGCGCACGACCGTGTTTGGAGGTTTTTAATTGCTTGAAAGTTTAATGGTTCTATGGATTTTTGTATATACCTAAACGTTTTCACCCAGCATCAGCTAGATAAAAAAACGAAAATATTATAAATAATTGATTTTATTTAAAAAATAAACAGAAAAAGTGCCCAAACGTGGTTCAATAGACATATGTAAAAATTAAATGTTAGTTGATAATAGCTAACCCGCCGATAATCACAATATTAGAACAATTCTGCATTTACTTCAGTAACAATGACCTTAAATGCACCTAGTGATAACGCTCTGACAATGTTTGTATTCGTTTGTTATTCTTACCAGTTCTGTGAAAGGAAACAATCTGACAAGATGCGGTTTAATGCGGCTTTTGGCGTAGATATTTTACTTTCTGGCTACAGAGTAGAGATGAAGTTATGTAATGCCGCGTAAAAAAATGGCGAATTTCCGACACAAAAACTCTTACCAGGGCCCTGGTAACGAAAAAGTGGATAAATCCAGTTGCTAATTGTAGAAACTAGAGGTGCTAAAACAGCACATACTCTCTCGCCCCTTAGTAACGGTTATATGATAATATTATTCCGCATTTCTCTCTATATCAACACATCTCAGTCGATGAGCACTTACAGAAAAGCGCGCACGCAGCGATGGGCGCTGCCAACAATGGACATATTTTTTCTTATTGATTATTGCTAAAAGTGCCATTTTTGCCATAAATGGAAGGTAAGTAGTTGGTGTGAAACCTGAATAAATTGAATTAATTTCAAGCAGAAATTACGCCAAACTACTTGTTTTTTTTTTCAAAAAATTGTTCATGATTTTTTTGAAGAGTTAATTTTGTACAACATACCTGAGGCAAAAAACTTTACCTTTGATTTTTTAGTTTTGAAATTTTGTTTGCAATTTTCGAAAAAAAAGCAAAACTTGAAAATGAGATTTGCGCCATATTTCTTACTGCGCCTTATTACATATGTGGAGAAAATGTAAAGAAAAAATCGGAGCGGTTTTTGAGAAAATTGTTTTCGTAAATTCCAATCGCAAAATACGCCAAATCTACTCGTTTTTTTTGAAAAAAAATGTACATGCCCTTTCTTGAAGAGCTAATTTTGGGCAACAGACTTTGTCTGAGACAAAAATCTCTATCTCCAATTTTGAAGCATTATTTTTTTTTCAGTTTAAAAACTTTACCTTTGATTTTTTAGTTTTGAAATTTTGTTTGCAATTTTCGAAAAAAAAGCATAACTTGAAAATGAGATTTGCGCCATATTTCTTACTGCGCCTTATTACATATGTGGAGAAAATGTAAAGAAAAAATCGGAGCGGTTTTTGAGAAAATTGTTTTCGTAAATTCCAATCGCAAAATACGCCAAATCTACTCGTTTTTTTGAAAACAAATGTACCTGCCCGTTCTTGAAGAGCTAATTTTGTGCAACAGACTTTGTCTGAGACAAAAATCTCTATCTCCAATTTTGAAGCATTATTTTTTTTTCCAATTTTCGATGTCAACGAAAATTAGACCTGAGCCATTCTCTTAAACGTCCTTTGCACAATTCAACAAAAATTCAGTCCAACAATTTGGAGCCATTTTTTTTAAATTGTGAAAATGTCCCAGGGACTTCATGTACAGTACCCCCAAAATTAAAATATCGGTTTCAAATTCCAGGGTCCGCGAAATCAGCTGGAACAATTGGGGAATATCAATTTCGGCTGACCGATTTACGCGCTAGCTTTGTGCACAAACGGGGGGGCAGACAGACGTTTTGCCGTTAGTCGATTTTTCGGTAGGAAGGACACACGAAACAGGGATTCTAGCTACACGACGCGTTCGAGGTATTTTTTTCTAAATTTAGCAACTGGATTTATCCACGTTTCTTTCCAGGGCCCGGCAATAAGAGTTTTTGTGCCGAAAATTCGCCGTTTTCCAACACACAATTACAATACTTTCTTTTGTACGTTAGTAAGTGTGAGAAAGTAAAAATAAATCACAAAACAATCAATAAACACGTGGCGTAGCCAGACCCCTTGATACCAAATATCGAATGACGGCAAAACGTTTATCCTTTCGTCCGTCTCTGAATAACGCTAACGGCTAAACCGTGCAGCCGATTAGCTCCAAAAGTGATATTTTCGGCAATCGATCTAGCTGAGTCGCGGCCCCTTGAATTTGAAATCGATATTTAAATTTTGGGGGGTACTTCACATGAAGCACCAAACGTTTGAAAAAGTGGTCCATCGTTTTTTATTAATTTTTATATTGAATAGTGTGAAGGACGTTTAAGATAATGGTGCAAGTCTCATGTCAGTTGAAAACTTTTTCCAAAATTGAAAAAGTTCAAAATTTTTTCGGAGTCTTCTTACAATTTTCTATTAAAGTATTAAAGATAGAGATATACTCTTAATGAAATTTGTTCTTCAAAGATTTTGAAATATAGTCATATACAACTTTTCGAAAATTTAAGTAGTTTTTGCGTAATGTGTGAAAATACGGGCAAGGAAGTACGTGCTGTTTTAGACCCACTATTTTATTTCTGTGTTAATTTTTCTTCTGAACAAATATATCCATTCTTTTGTAAATATTGAATAGTTTACATGTTTCTGGAGTGTTTATATGTTTCTGAAATGGAAAATATCGGCATAGAAATATTTTTTCAAACCATCCCATGAGTGGTTATCAGGGCTCAGCAAATTCGAAATATTATTAGACAAAATATGCTTAAAATTTACTTAAGAGCTTATTTCCGAAGTTTCTTTGTTTACTCACAGGAATTGAACTATTACATATTTGCGAAGAAAAATCAAAATTATGTTTCTCTGGTGGTAATTTTTCGCATTTGAGAATTGTGCCATTTATTTATTTATTTTATTTTCCTTTTTCTTAAGTTTAATAAATTGAATTCATAAAAAATGAGTTTAATCTGATTTTGTAGGAGTGGTGCGGGTGAAAATTGTTCAAAAGTCCCAATCGAGCACAAATAATCCGAAAGTACCGGAAAGTGATAAGATATTGTTAAGTGTTTCGTTCCAGGTCCATACACACATAGTAATGAATTGGTAAACCATAAAATACGTATTCAAGCCCATCAACCTCCCCTCGACATGTGGCAGTATGCGTAATGTGTGTTGTGGATGATTCTTAAAATTTATTACTTAATAAATTATTTTTTGACTCACTTCAAATGGTATTGGATGTCATTTGAATGCTGACACTTGAGAATTATGGGTGTATGAATTTCATGACTCTTAACTTTCACTGACGTGGCTGCGTACCAAGATGTTGCTGTCAGTGATTTACTTCATAGCCTCGGATTGCCAAATTCATTGAAATATTTGAAGTTTTTTGCAAAAAAACTTACAAAATACAATGTATTATTCTTATGTTTACTGTATTGTCTCCATGTTTTTTAATAGTCTTTTATTTGTAAGTTTCCCCAAATTAAATTAAATCACACCACAGCACAACCAATTTTTCCAAAAATTGTTCTACAAGAGAAAAGAGGTGAAGTTGAAATTAAATATTAGATTTTGAAGTTATGGAACATATACTGTTGATGAGTTTTGGAAAGAAATTTGAAAATGAATATCTTCATTTTTTGAAAAAAAGCAGTTTCGTATTTGACTATTGGTCTCAAATTGATTGTAAACTCATCTTTTTCCCTTGTATTACTATTTTACGAAAAATTGCATTGCTTTGAACCTCGTTCGATTATTTTTGTTTTAAGGATGTTTTATTACATTTAAAAATTTATTACAGCATGGAAAAAAAATTATCCATCGAGATATAAAGGCGGAAAATGTCTTCTTTTCAACACCGACTCTAGTGAAACTGGGAGATTTTGGCTTCAGCACAGAACTAAATTCAGGTATCTATATTGATATTTAGTTTACATTATGGATTTTGACAGATATTTCATATGTTAGGGATATTTCCTGCACATCGCTGAATTGCAATGCCATTGACCAGGACATCCTCTTGTGAACAGCACTCTTGTCACTTTCGAGCAACTTTCGACTGGTGTAATTGAATCACTTTTAGTAGTAATGCACTCTTTCATCTTCGTATGTCTAATTTTATTACCACGTTGATGAAATTAAGCTAATAACGCTTTACGTTTCATCTTATGTAAATAATAAAAATTAATGTATACAAATTAGTCTCCGAACACGCTAGTGGAACATATTGTAGACGAATTTATGATATTGTGAGAAAATTGTAGAAACACTTACACTACGAATCAAACAGTTAGGGAAAACATTTGCTGAATTACACTAAGTTAGAGCACAGACTAAATTGAGAATCTGAATATTAATTGATTTGATCACACCATCTCGACTGAGATTATTTACTTATAACATCTTATCAAAACTCAAAGCAAACTGGCACAGGGGAGGGGATGATTTTTATTTTTGAAAAATGTTCATTATGGTATAAACCGTTTTCATTTTTTTTATTCCCTTCTGTTCGGCATTACAGTCCTTCAGGTGTGTGAGAAAAATTAGTCATTAATAGTACGTCATATATTCTCACGCTAATTGTCATGATTGTTACAGGCTATTGTTTTCAGAGGATAATTCAGTTCAATGGATATAAAATTTATACTTGCAACTCGTCATTGAATATTATAGTTGAAAGTTTATATTTCAAATTACTGTATGTTGAGAATTAATGCTACTGAATATTTGTGGAGACCTAAATTTGTCTTTGAGGAAGTGTGAGCATATTCGGTTAGGTTTTGAATGGTTTCTGCCGAGTTTAAAGAGAGGGTGGCTGGAGAATCTGAAAGAAAGTTGAAAAATTTGTGAGAAGTTTTTAGAACGTATTGGTTCTATTTGTAATTCTCTGTGCAGTTGTTTCTTACTACTGAACAACGGCGCTTTACTTTTCTTAAGCATTTGTTTTGTATCAGTGGTTGTTTTTTACTTTCTTGTATACGTACGTATATAAGGAGTAATATACGTAATATAGGAAAAGTTATGAAATGCTTCGGAAAATATAGTTCGAGATTTCAACGGAAATACACGTTTTGGGGTCCAATTTCTTCCTGATACCGAAAAAGTGTTTTTTTTAAACGTCCGTCCATCTGTGAACGCTAGTAGCTCCTAAACCATACGTAGATTTTTTTCAAAATGAATGTCCATCTGGCTCGAGTCGAAGCTTTGAGATATTGAAAAACATTCTTTAAAATTTTGGGGTACTTTACAAGAAAGCCCTGGGATATTTTCAAAATTTTCTTAAAAACGGCTACAATTTTTTTCTTTAAATTTCTTGTAATTATATAGTAAAACATATTTGACTTTTATAAAAGTGGTAGCGGTATGATTTTTAGAGTTAACTCTGAATTTTCTGAAATTGCAAAGGTTTGGATTTTTCCGGTGTCTTCCTACAACCACAAAATTGAAGATATAAATTCTTCTTTCCAACAACTTTTCGTTTCATAAAGGCTATGTGTATTTATTTAATTTTACTACTTTTCGCGGAATTTTGCGTGGAATATGTGTATTATTAAAAAATAACAAAATCATTTCCCGGAAAACCGGTACAATTTTTTTCTTTACACTTTTGGTACAGTTTGGTACAAATTCCAATTGGGCGATACGATCTCCAGCTGCGTGTGTGGTTGCCCAGCGCCATGCCTTTCGTATTTCCCTGTTGCTTTGCAACTGGAAATATCTCTTGTCTTGTTATAAAAATATTATAAACATGTCAACAGTTTTTGTGTGTCCATTCAATTTCATTAACTATTCAACTCAGCCAACAGGTTATGGTGCCCAGAACCTCTGTAATAACACCACACAAAATAGTTAACGATTCTCGTATTGGAAGTTGAATACCACGTCCTGAATAATGTACACGTCAGGCGTAAGATTCGAAACACTGAACAAACAGAACTACGATACTTAGAACATCCAAATGCGTGCCTTGTTAATTAAAAATGACGCATAGAGTTACGTGTGTGGCGCTATTGTAAAGCCCGAGTCGACAGCAGACAATGCACACGAAGTACAAATATGGATCGTTGAGGATTTAAAGGCACAGTTGGACATTATCCTGACAATCCAACAATCCTAGATTGAGCAAATTAAAAGATGTGACACTTCTCGTGGTCTGTGAAATAAGAAGTATTATAGAAGTCCAATGGACCCGCAACAACTGCTGCCCTTCTAGACCTGCTCATCTTGATAAAAATGCATGATGGAGACGACGCTCTACAACACACCCGAGAATTCTTCGATGTGGTAGACAAGCTTGTAGAAATGGAGATAAATTTCACTCAAGATTAACTGACTATCGTCGTTGATGTTGTTTTTAGCCAACGCATGCAACCCCCAGCCATTTGGTGACGCGCCGACCAATATAGACGTGCAGACTTACCTCTCAGCTTGTAGGGATCTGCACGCCACAATGGTCAAGCGCGTTGGTGGCGAGACACTGTTGCTCATTTAGCGTTACCCAGGGGACACGTGTGGTAGACCACAAACGCGAACAAGTTTGTCTCCGCTGTCAATTATTATTATTGTTGTTATGATTGTTGTTATTGTTATTATTGGACTAGGAGATGATAGGATATTGACGAAAGGTCATTGTGGGCATTTTGAACCATCCCAGCATTTGCCTTATGACCGAGAGAAACCACGAAAACCCCGGCCAGGAATCGAACCCAGAACTCCCGATTGCGAAGTCAGCGCGCTACGCACTGAGCCACTTCGCTCGGTATGTACTGAATATCGTACTGTTACGCACCCTGCCAGAAACCTTCGACAACATTCTCTGCACCTTAAACTCCCGTGTCGTGTTGACTATACCAGAAAACTTACGTATCAAGATCGGAAAGGAGTTAGATGCTTGAAAAAAAGCTCGCATCAGAACGCGATGGTCGCTGGAGAACCCGTTAAGAGTAATCGCCAGATTACTTTACGCTATCAACACGGGGAACAGAAAAGAGACGCAAGGATTAAATTTTACAGCCACGGAGGAATCGGACACCGCCTAAGAAATTGCAACCAGCTGCAGACGACAATGCAACAGTTTGCAAGCTGTGGGGAATTCATATCCCTGTGTGTTACATCGAAAGCAGCGTCAACCAAGTGTTCTCTAACCGGAAACAGCGTAAGTAGCGGCAGTTTGTGACTCGGTAGTGGATAGTGGAGCCACGATCTAGAAAATGAGTTTTCGTTGGATACCGCACGAATACGAAAGGCTATAGAATCTAGGTTCCGTTGGAGAAATGAGTTATAGTGTCGAGAGATGTCTGGATTTTGGAAGAGTATACTGAGAGGTTGAACTACAATTTCGAGGAGTTCAAACCAGAAGAGGACAATGATACAAAATCCAGAATCGATGAATAAACAAGGCAGGCAGAGAAACGCCGTAGCATCATTCGTTGTCGTGAATCACAGCCGTACTCAGTGTTCGGAAGGCGATCTGTATGTTCCGGATCATAGCATAAAACGGGTCAGTAAGGACGCTGACGATTCGGACAAGAAGATTCCACCCCTTTCGAAAAATGTCACTGGAGGTCGCGGCGGAAGGCCACGAAAGGTGTATACCGGACGCCCAAAAAGACCCCGCCTGGACCGAGGAGGACGTACCGGAGAGCAAGATTATAAAAATCAAGCAGATCTCGCATTTTTAATGGAGGTCTAGTGAACATTCAGAAGAGTGGGTGAAAGCCATGTCAAGCGAAGTGAAATCAATAATGAAAAACAAAACCTGGGTGCTCCGATCAAGTGCCAGAGATGTAATAGGAAGTCGATTTGTCCTACGAAAGAAATATGGACAAATGGCATTTTGGAGATGCGAAAGGTAGGAATAGTTGCCAAAGGGTACTCCCAACAGTACGGCAGATATTTCCACGAGACGTTCGCCCCGGTTGCTCGTCTCCATTCTATTCGGCTAGCCATTGCAGTCGCAGCGCGAAATCAAATGCATATTCGGCAATATGAAGTAGCAATGGCATACGTAAACAGAACATTGGACGAAGACGTATTTTTTGAAGTTCCGAACGAGATGAAAAGATTCTTGAATATATTATTCGGAATGAAAGTCACGTTCACGAGCTGTACGAGACGCTATGTCAATGCTGAAAGAGCTGTCGAACGGAAACAAAGTATGTCATATGAAGAAAACTCTGTATGGATTAAAGTAGGCAGGTTGGGCATGGCATAAATATCTTCACGAAAAATTACGCAGCGGAGCTATTCCTACCAGAGGAGATTCATGAGTCTACTTGAATCACCGAGCGGACAGGCTGATCATCGTAGTTTACGTGGATTACACATTGGTGATATCAAGGAAATAGAAAACTTCGGACGTTCGTTTGGGGAAACTATTTGAAGTAAAGGATCTCCGCGAGATGAAGCGTCGCCTGGGGATAGACTTCCGAGTGGTGAACGGGTCAATCACCTTGAATCAAGGAACATACATTGATGAAATCCTTCGTCGGTTCAATACGTCAAATTGTAATCCTGTACCTTCACCCATCGCTACCGGTACGAGACTTACCAGGAGTGACGTGTGGACAGACGCTGTTGGCAGCAGACCACCATATCATGATGGCCTGTTTAAATGGGCATGTAGCCACTGATAAGTTTATCAGTGGCTATGTGCCCTGACCTTACTCACACCGAGTTCCTTGGCTCAGTATAACGATTGCTTCGGGAAGCCCCATTAGAAGGCGGCGAAAAGTGTTGCGCTAGGCACCAAAGAACTGGAAATTCGATATACGAATGATGGAAGTACGATAATAGGGTATGTCGACGCCGACTAATGCGGTTCGATCGACGATTGACGATCATACTTGTTTACTATGAGCGGAGGTGCCATGACATGGCATTCTCTGAATTTCAAGCAGCGTACATGGCATTGAGCAACGCCGCGAAAGA